GTCATTCATGCCACTATGGCGAATAGTGGGCGAGGCTCTTGTGCGATGCATGTAGTTAGGTCTCGGCGGGTGTTATGCTGCATGACAGACTGGGAGTTGGGCTTATCGCGGACAAGACGCCGCGGTGGCTGGATGCTTACAGTAGAAGCACGTCTTGGGGGTGGTAAGTATTTGGTGAAGGCTTGACATAAGACCAAGAAGGAGAAAGGAGCATAGACAGGGGGTCGAGAAATTCTCCTTGCTCCGGTGACATTATATGTAAACCACTACCGACAGCGCAGTGCCGATTCTGACGCCTGAACGCGCATCGCAGGCGGAAGTCCAGTAGAATCAGCTGAAGATGGGGTCTTTCACTCAAAAAGTGAAGGGGAATAAGGTAGGGGCGGTGATATTGTCGGTTTTTGACTGGTACCGTAAGTATTCGACCGTGTACCTCACACAAGGATGTCGCTCACGGTGATTAAACAGCTTCACACTATCCTGCAGAAGAGCGAAAACTTTTGCGAAAACTCGATCTCTCGATTCTGGTGTTTGGAAGTTTGTCTTGTAAGTCAGAGTCTTTTCATCTGATCGAAGGCAAACCAAACTAATCGTTACCCTTACCACTCTTAGTCTTTTGCAGAGTAAGGGAATCTTTTACTCGCAATTCCCAGAGCTATGAGAGCTAAGCGCCAGTAGTTCCTTGGGCAGCAAAATGTCACCAACGCATATGTATCAGGCATGCGTGAGGATCTTGATTCTCACGGCAACGAGTTGAACTACTATGTCGTAGCTTGTAAGCCAATATTCAGACACTCATGTGACAAGCACCGCTGACTCTCTCCAGACAACACCGCATACGTCATTGGCCAAATCCCGCTCATGACTCTGCAAACGAAGGCAAAGATGTATGCCTGACAACTGGACACTTATTCAGGCGACGTAGCAAGTTGCTGATCAAGATTATACAGTGCACCTTTCTTGTTACCTTCCCTCCAAATCATCTGGGCAGTCATCGCCTTTTCTCAATCCACAATCAAGCACAGCTGGCATCTGTACATCCTTCGCGCTATTACAGGTTTCCTCGAAGCTTCATCATTTGGCGGCACTCATCTCATTCGTAAGGATGCCTGTTGCCAATCGTTGTATCTACGTAGAAGTACTGACCAAAAGTAGTGGGTAGTTGGTTCAAGAACGAGGAGCTCTTCAAGCGAGCAGGAGTATGGTTCATGGGTAACTCCCTAGGCTCCATGTTCTCCGGCTACTTGCAGGCCGCAGCGTATCGAAACCTCAACGGCGTATTCGGGCGTGCGGGTTGGCGATGGCTTTTCATCGTCCAGGGTATTATCACCCTGCCCATATCCTTCCTAGGTTTTGCGTTCTGGCCTGGTCTTCCCACCTCACCCAAAAGGTGGTACTTCTCCGCGGAGGAGCACGCCCTCGCTGTCAAGCGGATGCCAACGGTCGAGCAGGAGGGCATTACGTGGAAGACGTTCAAGTATACGCTCTCCAGACCGATGTGGTGGATTTGCGTTCCTTGTTACATGTGTGTGCCCCGGAACCTCCTTGGAAGCGAACATTCCTCTGACACGTTGCAGCTTCTTGTGCCAAGCGCACTACTGGACTGGTTACATGGCTTTGTGGCTAAAGGCAGCTGGATACTCCGTTGAGTTGGTGAATATTCTACCGACTTTCATCGACCTTCTGCGTGCATTATCCTCTTGGCTTGGAACTACGTTAGCGGGCTGTTTGAGTTTGAGGGGCCTTTGGTCTTTCCAAGCGGTAAGAATCCATCTTATCAAAGTTGACGCAAGAACCAGTGCTAATTCCTCGTAGTCATTTGTCCTTTTCTCTTGCATAGTCCTGTCGATATGGAATGTCCCCGACATACTCAAATTCCTCGCATTCTATTTCGGAGGTTTCTCTGGAATGGCATCCCCGATCTTGGTATGTGATCCTGTACGCCATGCTAGACTCACTTATCTAACAAAAGCGGCTTAGTATTCCTGGTTGAACTCTACGCTCAAAGAGAATTATGGTGAAAGAGGTCTCATCATCTCTTCGATGATGACCCTCGGATTCTGTGGACAGATTTGGATTCCTCTATTCACCTTCCCAACCGTTGAAGCCCCGCGCTATCCCCATGGATATCCTGCAGCTACAGTGTTCGAAGTTGCAATGTGGGCTTTTCTCATGTTCGGCACATGGTACATGAAGAGATGGAAGCACAAGCATCCTGACCTGGAGATGAGACTTGCGACCGAAGGAGCTGCCGCGGAAGGCTCCTCGGTCATTGGATCTGATTCCGACAGGCCTGACGGAGATAGCCCGGCCTCCCAGTATACAAGCAAAGGGGAAGAGATTGTGGCCACTCAGCCTGTGAGCCAGAAAATCTAGGGAATTCTGAAGGTAATGAAAGAAGACAGCGACTGAGAGATGCATATTCCAGCGGCAGGGTGTTTACCAGATGACTTGAGTCTTCCGTCAATTTGTTCCTGAAGACAGAGGCGACATAGACTAGTGGGACAAAGATAAAACTACAAAAGTGAGCTTCACAGAATGGACCAATTTGACAATGGAAATCTTCGCGAATATTTAGGGCCAGACGAGTGCTTCGAATTAGATATCTTCAACCAGCGGACGGCGGCATTCTGGATATAATAAAAGCTGCTACACCCATTTATACTGAGATGAGAGGAGTAAATTAGTGAAATTGGGGATATAGCGGATGGGAACCCTGGATAAACAAACGAGCTGTTCAGTCTTCTTTGTATCAATGACAAGCGAAGGAATTGGCGTCTCGTTGCACAAATGCAATTGTGCGACACAAAAAATCCCATCCTTCAGTGTGCTTAAATAGAGCCATTGAATTGTTTGTTGAGAGTTGGGACGGTACTTTGGTTAGGTAGCCTAACCTGATTAGGAAGGCTGAAAATTGCGCCGGTCTGACATAAGACCGCGGTGACGCGCTCTCAAATTATTAACAATGTCAAATTGCGTTTCATCTCACTTTGCTTACCTACACTTGATTACTCAATAAGCGACTTCGTCACGTCGCCTGTGCCTGGAACACAAGCTCTCGAAAAGGGCCGACCAAACCGAGGAACCATTATCTTCTAGGCTGGTTGTATTGCTCATACGAATACAAACCGCACATTGCTACGCCATCAAGATGGCGCCGAACCAGAAGCCAGCAACCGGCGACACCTTCAGTCACGACGCGACAGAGACAACTCCGTTGCTCATCGCCGGCGACATCGCTCCGACCGCCGATCCCGATGTCTCCAAGGCCACAACACTCAATGAGCCATGCCAAGAGAATGAGACTCCGGACGAGGACGATAAGCCATTGCCGGTATGGCAAGTCTTTTGGCTGTGCTACGCTCGACTTGTAGAGCCCATGGCTTTCTTCTGCATCTTTCCGTACATCAGCCAGATGGCCGAAGAGAACGGTCACCTCGCCAAAGCGGACGTCGGTTTCTACAGCGGTCTCATCGAGTCACTCTTCTCCCTGACCCAAGCCGTCGTCATGATCTTTTGGGGCAGACTCTCTGATCGGATTGGCCGCAAACCCGTCCTCGTCTTCTCCCTTTGTGGTGTCACTATTGCCACATCCATCTTCGGTATGGCACAGACCATCTGGCAGATGATCCTCTTCCGATGCCTGGCAGGCGTTTTTGGCGGATCCCTTGTCACGATGCGCACCATGATTGCCGAGCACGTCACCCAAAAGACGCAAGCCAGGGCCTTTAGTTGGTTCGCATTGAGCGGAAACCTAGGGATCTTCTTCGGACCTCTTCTCGGCGGAGCCCTCGCCGATCCGGCGCATCAGTACCCGAGCGTTTTCAAAGCTCAATTCTTCTTCGACTATCCTTACGCACTGTCCAGCTTCTGCGTTGGCTTCATTGGTTTGACGGCGACCATCACTAGCATACTGTTTGTCGAGGAGACACTGGTCAAGGAGAAGCAAAGCAGCAACGATGACGCAGCTACACCACCCAAGAAGGACAAGGGCTCCATCAAAGAGATCGTCAAATCTCCAGGCGCTTCCAATGTCCTCTTCGTGTACGGTTACCTCATGCTCCTCGCATTGTCCTACACGGCTGTCGTTCCCGTCTTTTGGTTCACCCCAGTCGAGCTTGGCGGCTACGGCTTCACCCCTCTACAAATTTCTGTCATGATGTCCGTCAACGGCATCGCCCAGGTCTCATGGCTGCTCATCATCTTCCCGCCGCTGCAGCATCGCATAGGCACGAATGGCGTGCTGCGCGCCTGCGCCTATGCATACCCTTGGTTCTTCCTCATCTGCCCTCTCGGTAACGTCGTCCTTAAGCTCGGTGTACACAACCCGGGCTGGGTGACGTTCTTCTGGATCTTGATGCCCATTGCTCTTACCATCGGCTGCGGCGTGAGCATGAGCTTCACTGCCATACAATTGTCGTTGAATGATATTTCGCCCAGCCCTCGTGTTCTGGGAACGCTTAATGCTTTGGCACTTACCGGAGCGAGTGTCATCAGGGCATTTTCTCCAGCCTCATTCACCACCCTATTTGCCATAGGTGCTAACACTCAGGCCCTAGGCGGTTACGCAATCTGGGTTCTGATGGTTGCTCTTGCAGCTGGGCTGATATTCGCAGTGAGGAAGCTCTATGGGCCGGAGGATCTGAAGAAGGCCAGGGAACAAGAGCGGGCTGAGTCGTCTTAGATAGACTACCTAACGGTACCAATTTCATATTGGTCTGTCTTTGCAGCCTTCTGCACGCCATAGAATCATATGTGCAGAGCAGTGATATAGAAGCTGCAAATAGAGGCATCTCTTGAGATTGAATACAATGTGAACACCCCTATTCGTTACTTACTTACACAGATCTCCACGACCAAATTACCTTGAACATTTAGCCGGGGCCTGGATGTGAAAGAATCGAAGCTCCTGCTCCATCGGCATAATTATACTAGATACTATTACAGGTTATGTACAAAGCATATTCATTCACATGGGTATTCCGCCAGCATCCGTCTCATCACATCCCCGACTTCCTTTTCCTGTTAAAGTCCGGCAAGACAGACTCCGGTTCCACCGGCTCCGTCGTTATCTCAACCTCGCGATGCTGCCATATCCTGTTATCTGAGTGAGGATACCCTGAATTGCTGTCTTTTGAGATCTTCTTCCCGTGGTAGTGCTCTCTCGCACTCATACCCGCTTCGTGTTCGGGGAAATTGTCCCGGGCTGGGCTCCGCACGGTTACGCTGACCGTACTCTGGGGCATCAGCTCGACGTCGTTTGAGCTACGGGAGCTACGGTCGTCGTCGCCTCCACCCATTGTCCGGAGGCCGATGCCATACTTGGACTCTTCTCGGAAGCTCGGTTTGGCGTTGGCTTCGGGAAGCTTGGACCAGTCTTTCGAGCCGTCTCTCGCATGAGAGGCGTTTCCGGATCGTCCGCCGCCGATGGTCATGCCTGCTGACCTTCCCGTCGACTTCTTGTTGGAGGACGACTGGGCGTACTTATCCAGACCACTTCGTTGAGCGGATTCGAGGAGACCCTTCCATAGTACACGGACGATTGGGCCCTATGTACTTGATCAGTCATGTTATCATTGACATCATCATTGTCAAACTTACAAGAGTCGGTAAGCATGCAGACACGATACCACTGCTGATTTCAATGATGTTCCAAGCCAGGCCTTGAGCTAATGAGTCTATCATCGTTGGGTTAGCACGAGAAAATCAAAGAGTTGATCCGCGTCGAGAGACTTACAAGGTACATCGTTCTTCGTGTATAGCAAGAAAATCCTGAAGCGGTAGACACTACAGAAGACGACATAGCTTCCAAGCAGGAAAGTGAAGAGGACCAAGATCCGTTGAGCCCTATTCATCTGTAGCTTCAAGACGTGGGGTATCGGAAGATAGAGAATCGCAATGTCGACAATGATGCTCGGAACAGCGATGGCAAGTTGCGTCAAGAACAGGTTGATGCAAGTACCGGGCTTCCACGGTTCCCATAGCGTATTCAGGGGAAGACACTGAATCGAGGCGGCAACGACGCAAGCGAGCGTCCAGAGCGATGTCAGGCTGCCGCATATCCATGCTCCCTTGCGGACTTCTCGCATTGGAAAGATGCGTAGGTATAGCAACAGCAGTGCTATCTTGTAGACGTTGACTCCGTTGACGTACAAAATCTCGGCACCGATCATGGTCTTCAGAAACGATGTTAGCTTAGTTCTCGTGAGATGAGTAGTAAAGTGTTCAGCGCTAGGGAATGTTGATGCATACCTTGTCGAGAAACTGCAGTTGTTCTAGTGTAAGACGACCTGAATGGAGACCAATACCAGCATCAACCACTTGGCTTAAATGTGAGCATGTATTCGTACTTCTGTTGTTCAATGCCACTTACGGATTAAGTTCATGACCATATTTCCAATTAATATCACTAGAGCAAACAACATCGTGTAGTCATCTTTCAAGTACCTCGCACCCTGCAGGTGACGGGCCGTGAACCTCAACCCAACCACAAACGCAGCAAAGACAGTAAAAGCGATCGTGATGCCTCGGACATATGGACGGAGATCCTCGGACAGGTTTTGATCTTCAGCGAAGTCGGCCAGCTTCTTCAGATAGTCTCTCTGGGGTTGATCGATAGTCGGATCGTCGTACGGGTATGTCACCATTGTGGCTGCCATGACTGGTGGCTTGATGGCCACACGGGCTCTCGTTGAACAGCGGGCTATAGGAAACGGGTCGTCGTCGTCGTCGATGGTGAGTGGAGGGGGGTTACCGATTAAACGGACGCAAGGGGGGGCGACTACACCGGCCACACCACGTGGGGATGGGGATTCATTTTATTCTGAACAATATTTGGGGAATGCCAGATGCCTTCCTTGCCGCGGGCTTTACTTGCACAAAATCTTGCAAGAAAAAAGCAAAAACACGTGCGACAACCCCGTCGTCGTCTACACTATCATGGCCGCAGGTTTCGGGCTCTTGGGCCCGTTCGTTTTGCCCGAACCACTGTTGCATTTCCAAACTGTCAATCACTTCTGTTTTGACATGTCATGTTTGACAAGTCAATCTGCCCCCATTGCAACTGCTACCTCGGGTAGGGGGCCCAGAGAGAGACAATGTGTGGAACTGCAACCGAAAGAAGCAAAGAAAAGGGGAGCGAGCCCCCGGCCAAGTCCCGAGGAGTTGTCAGGCTTGTCAATCTTTGTCAGTTTCGAGGAGGATACCCATGAGGGTTGCCCAGACATCTGTGGACTCTGGACAGGGTGGGATGTCGTAAGGAGGCTAGGAGTATAATTTGTTTTAGTCTTAGTCTCGTCTGTCTTCTTCCTCCGTCTTGAGCCCACATAAGCCGGCCCACAGCACACTACGGAGTATGTACAGACGCTAGGATATATCGTTCCCAACGTCCGATGGACTCGGATTAGGAAGAGTGCTTCCGGCGCACGGCTCTCGTTCTGGGGTCTCGTGTCCAAACTCGAAAAACCGTTGGAACTGATCCCGCGCTAGTCAACTAGTTCGAGGGGGATCCCCTCTTCTAGACCCGCCTCTAGCAACTAGGGCCCGCATGCCATGCCCCTTGGCGTCCGGGCGCATCCATGCAGGCAGATCGTCGCCAAAACCACGGCAATTGTGGCCTCTACGCAGCTCTCGGAAGAGAGCTGTTGAAGACGCGGATGGGGGCGGCTTTGAGTCAGCAACCCTGCAATCTGTACTCGATTTCTCACGGTGGACCACGATTCCTTCCTGTGCGTCATTATCGTCAAATTCTCAGAGAAATATTGACACGAAGGATTGCTTTTCTTTGGGTATGAGGGGCAAGCTGGAAACGAAGGGAAATATAATTCGAAGCTTGCCTCGAGCTCTCGAGCCCTTGACTGCCGAGGTAACATGGAGAAGATGGTTGCAGAAGGCCTCGGAGACTGAAGCAAACTACTTGGCGAGATGCTTGAACCTCCCAAAAAAGAAATACCTACTCAACAATGCAGAACGACGGCGCAGCACATGCTACGCAAAAGCAGATCCTGCCACATGCATTCTTCAAGCTGTAATGTAAGGTACCGAGCCCCTCTCGTCCTTGAGACTCCGCTCGATCGAACGGGGTATTCACCTGCGCCATAACCTGTTCCGTCATGACCCCCTCGAGTTGCCCCCCCCCCCCCCTCTCTCCTCGACCCCTTTTCACAACTGGAGCAATCCACCGCCAATGTTGGGCCGTTTGTGGATGACTTCGGAGGACCGCGTAAACCTCACTAGCGGACCTTAAGGACTGAAGACCTCGTGGCAATATCCGACGGTCTACCCGGCGCCCATCCCGCTGTCACGCGTCGTTCATCGCTTTTGGCCGCTGTCATTTCGGGGATATTGCTTACTGAGGATGTATATTCATGCCTTGATATCTATAGTAGATACGGAGTAGTACTTTAGAAAGGCCGCCTGCCTCTGCTCATTACTTACCTTTTGTTGTTGCTACCAGGCAGGCTACACATTCCTTTTTAGAGTCCACCTCGATCAAAGTCCGCACGCATCCCTCACCCATCTCTGCCCATATCCTCATCTCGTCAATCTCTGACAGACCCAAGATCGCATCTCTCGTGGTTCTCCAGTTGTCACGTCACATTCCCAACACACAATGAAGCCTTCAATTCTTATTGTCCCCGGCGCTTGGCAGCTGCCTTCCGCCTTCCAGCCCTTCGCTACCGAGCTGGCCGGCTCCGACTTCAATGCCTCCATCGTGGCTCTCCCCACTGTCGGCGGTACCACCACGCCCCTGGCATCCCTCTCCGATGATGTTGCCGCCGTGCGTACCGAGCTGGATAAGCTTGTTGCCGATGGCAAGGAGGTCGTCATCTACTCCCACTCCTACGGTGGTGTCGTTGCCAGTAACGCTGTCGAGGGCTACGACGTTGCCACTCGCTCCGCTGCTGGTGCCTCCGGTGGCGTTGTGAGCATCGTCTACGCCAGTGCTTTCATGCTTCCCAAGGGCTCCAGCTTGCTCGACCTTCTCGGCGGCGAGCCTCTTCCTTGGATGATTGTCGAGGTATGTAACCCAGTTCCCCAGTTCCCGTCGGTTACGAAGCGGGAGTCATACTAACATGCAATATAGGGGGACCGTGTTGTCGGCAACGCCACTCTGCTCCCCGAGGTCGGCTTCAACGACCTTCCCGCCTCTGAGCAGGAGAAGTGGGCGTCCGAGATGACCTGGACCGCTCTCGGTGCCTTCACCAACGCCTCTGGCTACGAGCCCTGGAGCAACGGTATCGACTGCGCCTACCTCTATGCCACTCTCGACAACGCCCTGCCTCTCAGCTACCAGCAGGGCATGTCCGCCGTCCTACCTGCTGGCTCCAAAACGGAGACCGAGCCTAGTGGTCACTGTGCTCACCTTAGCAGGCCGGCAAATGTGACTTCTATCCTCAGCAGATGGTATCCAGGCAACTAAGTGCCACGGTGCGTCGAGGTGTGAAACGGAGAGTTTTTGGGTTTCGTGATAGCGGCGTAGCGGCGTGCGGAAAGCGCAGATCTAAATGAGCCAAGTAATACGTATGATACCTCTGAAGAATTGATGTAACGCTGTCAAATCCCTCCAGTGGGCCTCTTTTATTTGCGACGTGACTTCGACAGCGGGCACAGTGTTGCCTGCCCCGTAGTCGGACGGAGCGACGGTCTCAAAGAGACATGGCGCACTGGCGAGTCACCAACCTAGCTGGCCACGTTGAGGCAAGGAAATGCCAGTTGCTTTACCATCTCAGGACATTCTCGATCGTAACGGCCCGAAAGTCCTATCGTGCCACCATGAACCGTTCGTGTCCCTAGATCGTTCGCGAATGAATCGTGGTCCTCTCTCTGTTAGTGGTCGTCTCCACATAACGCCTGTCCAACTGTCAGGGGATGAACATCGGAATTAGTGGATTTCGTCTGGTTTTGGGTGAGAACCGGGAAGACCAACAAGCCATGCCCATGCTAAGGTCGTCCTGAGAGCAGATTTTCTCGCCTACCAAACGCCGAACCCCACAAGGATCCTTGAACGTTTGACGGTTGACCTGAGTGGCGGGACCTCTTCGATGAGTCATTGAGCAACGTGCTCTAAGTGAAGACGCTCCCTGGCGGCTAGTATCTCTGAAGAATAAGGATTTCTTCATTCTGACACTTGTCGCGGGTGTGGACTCGAGTTGTCCCCTGATTTGGACTGCCGCCGCGGGATAAATGCATCTACTAGCACTTCCCCTTGGGTCGGTTTACGCCGGGGTTTCCCTGTCTCTCCGAAAACTGCTGGACCTCAATAAAGCAGATATATCCGTACGAATTGAGTTGTTTCGTCTTTCAAGGACCAATGTAGAGCAGCTCCCTTGTCATGAAGCTACCAAGCGAGAGGAGTGTTACACACGGACAGAATTTCTTTATCTCTACGCTTTCAGAACCATGTCTCTACCCTTCAAATCTTTACGTACCTTAGCCAGTGACCCGTTAAACATAAATGTAGGGGAGATTCATACCGTTGCCGTATCGATTTCAATACATGTCAGTCTTCGATCTCTCTATGTCAAGCGGTCACAAGCAACAGTGTATTCTTTCGGCTAAACTACTGCAACAGGAATTGAACCTTGAGTAACTTTGGTCTGGTGTTAGCGGTATCACCCTGGTTATTGGTAGTACACAACCTTATTGTGGCTTATCTCAGGAAGGAGCACGTATTGTTCAGTGCGGGCAAATCGCTTGAATCCAGAAGGGATTCGGAGATATGAAAATACAGTCATTTCTTGTCGACTGGTGTTTGTGGAAATCTAGTCAGTTTATAGTAATGATGCGGAGCTCAAATGTTTATTAGTCTCCTCATGGAGTGATATGTAATTATGGTTCTGATGCCTGGAACGTCATTGATATACCATGTACATGACCAATTCGACAACGAATATCAATTCGATTCTCTTTCTTATACCTAGTCAATCCAGGATGGACAGGCCATATCGCCATTGAACCAACGGCATCAAAAGGTTCGCTCGTGACTATTTGAGGACAATATATATCACATACTTTGGTAAAAGCATCCTTCCCTCGGTCTGCCCGCCAGAAGGGGACTTATTAGAGTAAACTAGTAATGTCTCAATTCCCCGTGGAAAGCTCGTGAACTAAGTCCGTAGAGGCATTCGTTTTATGCCAGAAGAATGATCAGGCCTGCTGGGTTGGGCCATGGCTTAGAAGCATCAAAACTGTCAGTGACATCCCCAGGAATATCTAAAGAGATGATACGATTTTGTTTCCGGCGCAATGTGGCAACTCAAGAAACCGAAGCCGAGTCGCCTTGAACAATGAATTCAGACTTGGTCATCTTGATTACTCGTGACCAAGATTATCTTCATACGAAATATCACATCCAAAAGCAAAAGCCGCCTTACAACTCGCTGCTATTGTACAAATGCAACGTTTAAATATCGCAACTCTGCAAGCCTACCATACCCGTCGTAAGGATTTTCATTACAATCAAAAAGCTCCTGGAATCATCGTGAAGAAATCGAGTCGACTCAGCCCGACTAATTCTGATGTATACCTAGCACTACTGAGTTGACTTGACGAGTTTGACTCGGTCCAATGCTGCTCAACACGCTCCCGTAGACTGAACAGACAAACCCTCAATGGGACCATTGGTGACGCTGACTTCACAATCTCTACCCATGGCGAATTGCACATACGGTCCCTGGGGAATCGAGACACCTCCTGTGTCGCCAGCGCCGACACACCCGCCAGCTTGACCTCCACCTGAAGCGGTGAAGGCAAATCCGCAATTACCTCGAGCCTGGGGATGAGCTTGGGCCGTCGCAGCGCAAAGTGCAGCAAGAGCGAAGATCAAGCGAGCCATCTATGTTTCAATAAATTAGCTCTTAACCAGGCGTGATCGTGACAAGGCACAACTCACCTTAATTCTATAGGGCATAAGAGTGAATTATAGAGAACGTTTTGCCTCGTGAAAGTGTAAAAGAGTAAGGTTGCGAGCCGATGGGATGAGTTGAAGACAATCGTAGGATTTGACAACTTGTCTATTATATAGAGTCAACGGGTTCCTGTTTCCGAACGCGGGACGCTCTTTAGCTACTACTTTCCCGAAATGGCTGTTTAGCTATGGGGAAGTCATGATCGCTGGCGCAGATTGATTATGTGCCCCACTACCACAGGGAGTTGCAAGCCAATTCGCAGCGCAATCGTGAGGTGACATGACTGAGTCGTAAACTTACATAGATCAATAGCATGACGATCTACATGGCTGAGTGAGCTTGAGCCAACCACAGGAAACGATAGTTCTCGCTAAAGTCGCATGACTCTCTTGTGAAACTGCTTCTTCAGGTGCAACAGTTCGTTATTTTCTTACCGCTTCTACAGAAAACAGATAATTAACAGCGTAAATCCCACTATGCGGCAACAAGTCTGCCGAGTATAAAATAAGAGAAATCAAGATAGGAAAGTCGCTACGAAGACGGGAACTGAGGAGAATGCAGTGTCAGTAACACCATCGTCAACGAATCTATAATCGTACCCAGGAACGAAATAGTATAGATACGTCTAGAATTCAAGAGTCTTGCCTTGTTTTTTTTTTTCTCTTTTTCTTTTGGATTATGATTTCTCGAGAACTACTAAATGTACCGCTGCATCGGCGACTCATTTCGATGACGCCCGAGAAACCCCTGGGCTGAGAGTGATTCAGCAACAAGCCCGCCATTCAACTCTAACTCGTCATCTAGAGCCTAGGAACAAGCATCAGATGCAAAGGCAGCAACTCATGCGTAGCTATGCGCTTAATCGCTCCAAGGCCATCGCCCACTGGCATATTAAGACATCAAGGTTGGCCACGGCCGCCGGAAGGCTTGAAAGCCGTTGGGTGCTGTGAGTTTGAGTCAACTGTATCCAACTTACTATTGGCCAAGTCCTCGGGTTCTTTGTAGTCGCTAGTTGATGGAGTGTCGATCTACTCACAATGACTCACGGGACCAATGAGCACTAGCTATTAAGTGGTTTGTCACTGCGATTACCGGTCTACGTCCATGACAGCCGTGCTGCTCAAAATGCCACTGTTGGAGTGGCTATCACCCGGGGGGGGAGGGAATATGAACGGAATTCCGCCTCCCAGTCGTCAACATCCGCTCGAGGATTCAATCAATCATGGCCGGTTGGCCCAATGGCAAGGCGTCTGACTACGATTTATCAGTTATCAGGAGATTCTGGGTTCGACCCCCAGGCTGGTCAGTATTTTTGATTTTCAATGCGGGATTTCCGTCTTTGTGTGTTTTTTTATGGCGCTTGTGGACGCGGGCGGCGGGCCCGGTAAAGTGGATCCTTTTCGGGGCAGGTTTTTGGGGTTCTTGCCGGGATTGGCTGGTAGTTTTTTTTGGAGCAGTCCGTACATCGGCCGGGTGCGGAGACGGGGGTTACGGGGGCAAGTTTGTAGAGTCGGGAGGGAACGTGGGGGTTCCGTTCGACTTGCAAGGGCGACCGGAAAGCTCCTGGTCCACGGATACCTTGTCTCATACACTCGTGTAAATAGGCTCCGAGCTGTGAAAGAGGGTCAGTCGGATGTAATTTGGCTCCTATGTAATGCTGATCAATCGATGCTGGAGTTGCCATGAGTTGCCCAAGGTAGAATCCTGCCAGATAAGTATCTCCTACCTTTGATACGCACTTACGCAATAACTTGACCTTTTCCAAAGACTAATAGATAGTGGGATGTTGTCACGATGCCATTGGTTAATACGTGCAATTCGTTCCCAGATACGGCAAGCCTTTCCACACCTCATGGTTGGCGCCCCCTGGAACTCTAAAAAACAAAGCCGGAAGTGAATTCGGAAGACATATTGCTTCAACAATCACCAGAGACGGTGAAGCTCACGGTGCACTCTGCGATGTCTGCATCACCTCAGCAGTTGGAGCTTGTCCTGTATGTAAATTACCCCTCCCACCGGCGCGGTCTTCGGATAGCTCTTGTTTACCGTAGGCTGTGGCCTATGCCGCCTATCTATGCCCCGAACCCCCGGTCAAAGTTGCAATCGCACTTGTTATTCCAAAGTTTAATAAACACCGTTTTCTCCGACGAGCCTATTCGTACCGCGGCAAGTTCTTCAACTGGTAGCGAGTACCGATAGTCGGGCACGTTAAGATCAAGGCGGTGCTTTAATCGGAAAGTTCCATAACCCCTTCGGTCACTTTTTGTACGAGGTAAGGTATGGTGGCCTTGGAAGGAAGATACGAGAGGAGGAAGTTGGAAAGCTGCTGCGAGTCATGGAGCTATGCTTGCTGCGATGGTATGTTTCCACATGTCATCGGAGGGGTCGGAACTGTTCCGGCAGCGCTGCGAATGGTATTATAAAGAAGCTCAGAGTGAAGCTCAACAATCGATTTCAAGTCAACGGTGATTGCTATATCCCAAAGGACAATATCAAGAGTAAATAATCATTATCGCAGTAAACGACCCCCAACATGCCTCTCCGCGTCCTCCTCACCGGCGCAAACGGCTTCATAGCCCAACACATTCTCGCCCAATTCCTCGAAGCAGGCCACTCCGTCCGCGCCGTCGTCCGCTCCCAGTCCTCTGTCGACCAGCTCCGCAAGACCTTCGCCTCCTACCCCTCCACGCAGCTCGACTTCGCTCTGGTGCCCGACATCGCCGCCCCGGGCGCCTTTGATACCGTCCTCGTCTCCGACCATGCGCCCTTTGATGTCGTCCTCCACACGGCCTCGCCCTTCAACTTCCGCAAGGGCAACTCCAACGCCGACTTCCTCGACCCGGCCGTCAAGGGCACGACCGAGATCTTACACGGCGTAGTGCGCAAGACGCCGACCGTGAAGAGGGTCATCGTCACAAGCTCCATGGCGGCTGTAATCGACATCACCAAACCCCCCATCTCCGACCCGGTCAAGATTTACAGCGAGAAGGATTGGCTCGGCGTATCGAGGGAGGACGCAGAGGCATCGACGCACCCGGCGATACCCTATGTCGCCAGCAAGAAATTCGCAGAAAAAGCAGCGTGGGCCTTCCTCTCCTCCGACGCCGAACCAGAACCCTCCTTCGACCTCGTCACAATCTGCCCGCCCATCGTCTACGGACCCCTCTATGACGTCTCGGCGACGAGCGCCCCGCAGAACCTCAACGAGAGCAACCACATGCTCTACCAGAGCCTCTGCGGGCCGTCTCTCACCTCGGACGCGCCGGTCCCGCCCGAGATGCTGCACCTGTACGTCGACGTGCGGGACGTGGCGCGCGCGCACTTGTTGTCGGCGACGACGCCTGAGGCGGGCGGCAAGAGGTTCCTCGTGAGTCCCGGGGGCGTGTCGAACCAGCAACTGGTGAATATCCTGAGAGAGAAGCTGCCGCAGTGGGAGGGGCGGATACCAAAGGGGGACCCGGCCAAGGCGGCGCTGGCGGAGGGCATATTTGGGGTTGATGCGTCGTTGGCGGAGAAGGTTCTTCGGTTGGAGTATAGGACGTTGGAGGATACCATTGGGGATCTTGCGGTGCAATTTGTCGAGCTTGAGAATCGGGCAAAGGCTGCTTGAGTGGCGTGATGATGTTGGATTCATTTGTATGTACTATGTCTTGACGAGACTAGACTATCGGCACAAGTCTCTGACTAATGCCTTCTGAACAACATTGAATAAGCCTGTTGTCCGCCATCGTCCTGGACTCTTCAACTTTTGCCAAACTGCAGACTTTGCGTGTAACAGTACGAATGAAGGCCGTGTTTGCCCATCTCGCCCCCATGACCGCTGTCCTTCATGCCGGAGAAGTAACCCCCGTGGTGCGGTATCTCGGGAAGGTTGATAGCGACCGTTCCCGCCTCCACCCTCCGGGCAAGGCTCTCGGCACGGCCTAAATCACGGCAGTAAACCGAAGACCCGAGACCGGCGTTGGCCAGGTTCACCCGCTGGAACAGCTCGTCTTCCTCTGTCCAAGATAGTATGGGTACAATCGGGCCTGTAGAGATAGTCAGCATGAATACCTTGTGCCTGAGAGCAGAACGATGTGTTTCCCAGCCCCAAGAAACTTGGGCAAGGTTTAGTGGACGCACCGAATTGTTCTTCCTTGACCAAGATAGAGTCATCGGGAGGCTTTGTGACAATGGTCGGGGGTATCCAGAAGCCTTTGGAGTCTTGGGGATGGTCCGCAGCAATCATATTGAAGCCGTTCTTCTTGTAGTGATCAAAGATATCCTTAACAACGTCGTATTGCATCTTGTTCGAGACGGGACCGAACAAGCTGGGCGCGTGTGCGTCTTTAGTGATGACGTATTTCTCGGCAACCGCGCTCTTGAAGGCATCCAGGAACTTTTCATACACCGAGTCGTGGACGTAAACTCGCTTCGTCGCTACGCACATCTGCCCGGCGTTGAAGAAGCATCCTTGCGCGACCTGTCCTGCCACCTTTGCAATATCAATGTCGTCCGTCACGATCGCCGCGTCGTTACCCGCCAGCTCCAAGGTCAGACGCTTAAGAGTCTTTGCGCAGCTCGCCATGACGCTCTTGCCTGTTGCAATGGTCCCTGTGAAGCTGATCTTGGCGATGCCTGGATGCAGGGTCATTGCGATACCCAGGTCGACGCCGCCGTTGACCACCTGTACGACACCGGGAGGGAAGACGTCGATGAGCAGTTCGATGGACTTCATGACGGAGTACGGAGTAAAGGGGGAGGGCTTGACGATGATGCAGTTGCCTGTGATGAGCGAAGATGCCACTTTAATGTTTGACAGGATGAGAGGGAAGTTCCAAGGACAGATAGCCCCTACGATGCCCAGTGGCTGATGAGTGGCGACAATCTTGATGTTCTCATCCTCGAAAGTAATTTCATCTTCGAGGTGAACATTTGCTGTTGATTGTGAGCATGTGCGAGCCAACTCAGTGAACTGGTGAGGGCATACAGTAGTACGAGGTCTGATTACAGGTATTTGTGATTTCAATGTCGGCCATGAGACTCTGTATGCCACAAGCCATCAGTATCCTCATTATTGGGTTGACTTCATGATAAAGGATATGGTATTACCGATTTCCCCGTTTCTTTCATGACGATTTCTTTCAGCTCATCCTTGTGGGTGGTATAAATGTCAACAATCTTGCGCAAGTAGTCAGATCTCTCTTCGATGGAGGTCTTGGACCAAGTCTTGAGGGCTTTTTGTGCGGCCGCAACGGCTTCCTCGAGATCTTGCGTCGTGGCGAGGGGAGCGTCCCAGAGCGGTTCCTCCGTGCGGGGATCTGTGCATTGGTGGTGGTTATCGCTCCCACGGCGCTGGCCATTGATGATGTTGTAGAACTTCATGTTGTCCACTGTCAAATCTAGCAGATATCCCATGGTGACGAAAGGTTCTGATGAATGCAGATAGGCCAGCTTAAGAATAGACGTGTCGGCAAAGTCATGTCTACCCTCTACCTCGGTCATAGCAACGTCGAAGAGCCAAGACGTGTCTCAGCCGGCATAGCTGGAACGCGGCCGAAATGCCACGCTGCTACCTGTTCCTGCGGAGAAGGGAGGGGTTCAAGCCATCGGCGATGTCAATCGGCCTTAGGCGTTCCGGATTTGGTGCCGGGCTGCTGACACGGCGGGGGATTTAGGTTTGACGGCAGTTGAGATAGACAAAGATGGAGCCGCGGGGGGCCTGCAATAAGCAACTTTCCCCCTTCTTCAGCCCGCATTCTCTGGGGTAATCCATATGGTCTTGGAAGGATTGGCCGGGGATCGGGGTAAAAGAGATGTACGAACGACTGGGGATAGATGACAGAGTTGGTGGAGGAGGTTTGTCAGCGCCGGAGTGTTGATGAATCATTCTCGGTGACGGAGGGCCGGGATGCCCGCCTGTCATCTAATCATGACCTCCATATTGCCGGTGTATATCGGTGAGTTTCGGTGAGTCTAAGGTGAGTCATGGTAGACTTGGTCGAGGAGCTTGTATTGAGCGCTTGCTCCCTTCCATTCCTTGTGATGGATCACGTGCCGACCTATCCCCGTTCATGCGCACAGAGCCGCATAGAATCTCTGGATGTAGTCGACGCGTTGAATCACGTATGAAAATATAGTGTATGCAGGGGTTCAAGATGGGAATCGGTGCAAGATGGAACGAATTGCATGTCTGGCCCTTCTCGCGATGCAGGGTGGAAGATGCCGACCAAGGGGAAACGGAGCCGGCCGACAGAGGGGCCGCTGGTGAACGGCATGAAGCGCAGCGGGGCTGCACGGATCCCTCAGTGCGCCTGGCTCCCACTGAAAGGCGATGTCTCAGTGGCGGGGAAGCACCGGCTTCAGTGGGGAGGAGGGGGAATACCGATAACGATAACGCATCCCACCAAAATCGCAGATGCAGATTGGCGGGATCCGCTGATAAGCTCAAACTTGGGCCCTCTGATTCGCCAGACGCCCGTCGCAAACCGCAGCCAACATGTCAGCGACACCCGACAGCTTTTGTTTTGTCTTGCCACAGCAATCACTGAGCACATGGAAAGCAGAAACCAGAGGGGAAAGACGCACGTTGATATTTGCAGGATATCTATTTTCGTGGATGTAGACGTGCGGACTGCAGTAAATAGACACACACATATACACAAGTACGACAGACCGATAGGTGGTCCCTTCTGCAACAGACAACACTCTCCTAGGTACCTGCAGAGGCTTGGCTCAACCTGAATTAGCATCGTCTTCGCCTCTCTTTCTGCAATAAAGCTGCGGGGTTGTCTCTCTCCCGCCATTCTAAGCGCACCTACACCCTTTTCCCTTTCTCTCTTTTCCCTCTTCCTGCACCCTCTCCTCTTCCTCCTCCCAAAAGACGCTCCAGAGCCGTACTAAGAGTTTACCTGATATCATATCTCACTGTGAACTGGTGCTCGACAGCTTCCTGGCAATATGGCGCCCATCGCCATCTCTCCTGAGCGGGATGTTGGGCCTTTGAACTCGCTGACAACCAACTTCGACGATACCATTCGCTTCTACCTCAATGGCACTCGGGTCGTGATGGACGAGATCGACCCCGAGGTAACTCTATTGGAGTACCTGCGAGGTATCGGTTTGACGGGAACTAAGCTGTATGTCCAGGCTCTGGCTTTCTGGCGCGCAGGAGATTGAAGTAATCATCACATGCACTAACACTCACCAGTGGATGTGGCGAAGGCGGTTGCGGTGCCTGCACCGTCGTCATTTCCCAGTTCAACCCGACGACGAAGCAAATATACCATGCGAGCGTGAACGCCTGTTTGGCACCCCTAGCCAGTGTCGACGGCAAGCACGTAATCACCATCGAGGGTATCGGAAACACAAAGAGGCCACATCCCACCCAGGAGCGCGTGGCGAAGAGCAATGGCAGTCAGTGCGGTTTCTGCACCCCTGGCATTGTCATGAGCTTGTACGCTCTTCTGCGCAACAACGACTCGCCTTCGGAAGAAGATATCGAGGAAGCCTTTGACGGCAACTTGTGTAGGTGTACCGGCTACAAGCCTATTCTCGAGGCCGCGCAGACCTTCAGCGTCGAGAGAGGATGTGGAAAGGCGAGGACGAACGGTGGTTCGGGCTGCTGCATGGAGAATGGCAACGGCGAGAAGAAGGAGGGTGGATGCTGCATGGACAAGGCAAAGCTCGACGACCAACCTATCAAGAGATTCACGCCTCCCGGCTTCATCGAATACAACCCTGACACCGAACTCATCTTCCCGCCTGCTCTTAAGAAGCACGAGTTGAGGCCGCTGTCATTCGGCAACAAGAGGAAGAAGTGGTACAGGCCGGTCACTCTTCAGCAGCTGCTCGATATCAAGAGCGTACACCCCGCCGCCAAGATCATCGGTGGAAGCACCGAGACACAGATTGAGGTCAAGTTCAAGGCGGCACAATACCCCGTCTCCGTGTTCGTCGGAGACATTGCCGAATTGCGACAGTACGAATTCAAGGATGACCACCTAGAGATTGGAGGAAACGTCGTCTTGACAGATCTGGAGCACATCAGCAAAGTGGCAACTCGTCACTATGGCGACGCTCGTGGCCAAGTCTTTGAAGGTATCTACAAGCAACTGAAGTACTTTGCTGGCAGACAGATTCGCAACGTCGGTACCCCTGCCGGTAACTTGGTAACTGCATCGCCCATCTCAGACTTGAACCCAGTGCTCTGGGCAGCCAATGCCGTCTTGGTGGCCAAGTCTCAGAGTGAAGAGACCGAGATCCCCATGTCACAGTTCTTCACAGGATACCGACGTACAGCACTTCCTCAAGACGCCATCATCGCGTCCATCAGGATACCCGTGACAGCTGCCAAGAACGAGTTCTTCAGAGCATACAAGCAGGCCAAGAGGAAAGACGACGACATTGCCATCGTGACCGGCGCTCTACGGATCAAGATGGACGACGATGGCGTAGTGACCGAATGCAACCTCATCTACGGTGGCATGGCGGCTATGACAGTAGCTGCGAAGAACACCATGGAGTACTTGGTGGGCAAGCGCATTGCTGAACTGGAGACCCTCGAAGGAGCAATGAATGCCTTGGGAACCGACTTTGACCTGCAGTTTAGCGTTCCTGGAGGCATGGCTTCGTACCGAAAGGCGCTGGCCTTCAGCTTCTTTTACCGTTTCTACCACGACGTTATCGCCAAACTCGGTGGACAGAGCGAGCATATGGATATCGAGGCGGTTGACGAACTCGAGCGTGGCATCTCTGGCGGAACCGAAGACCACGGCGCGGCTGCTGCGTACGAACAGGAGACCGTGGGCAAGTCCAAGAGCCACGTTGCCGCCTTAAAGCAGGTCACTGGAGAAGCACAATACATCGACGACATACCGGTGGCGAAGAACGAGCTGCATGGCTGCTTCGTGCTGTCGACAAAAGCTCACGCAAAGATAAAGTCGATTGACTACTCTCCCGCACTGGACATGGCTGGTGTCGTAGATTATATCGACAAGGACGACGTCGATTCGCCTGAGCAGAACCGCTGGGGTGCTCCTCACTTCGACGAGCTCTTCTTTGCCGAGGGTGAGGTTCATACCGCTGGTCAGCCCATCGCCATGATTTTGGCTGCTTCAGCCTCGAGGGCAGCTGAGGCCGCACGTGCAGTCAAGGTCGAGTATGAGGACCTGCCATCAATCCTGACGATCGAAGAAGCGATCGAAAAGGACAGCTTCCACAACTACTACCGAGAAATCAAAAATGGTGACACTGAAGAGGCATTCAAGAACTGCGATCACATCTTTACCGGCACGGCGCGGATGGGTGGCCAGGAGCACTTCTACCTCGAGACGCAGGCTTCATTGGTAGTCCCCAAACTCGAGGATGGCGAGATGGAGGTGTTTTCCAGCACCCAAAACGCCAACGAGACGTAAGTTCACTCCTCATCAATATCTGTGCTCTTTGTACTAATAGCTTGCAGACAAGTCTTTGTTGCTCGGATGACGGGCGTCGCAGCAAACAAAATCGTCGTTCGCGTCAAGCGACTTGGCGGTGGCTTCGGAGGCAAGGAGACGAGGTCAATCCAACTCAGCGCTCCGCTCGCGCTCGCGGCAAGAAAGACCAGGCGGCCGTGTCGCTACATGCTGACGAGAGAAGAGGACATGGTCACTTCAGGGCAGCGCCATCCGTTCTTAGGCAGATGGAAGGTCGGCGTTAACAAGGACGGCAAGATCCAAGCGCTGGATCTTGACGTCTTCAACAACGCGGGCTGGACGTTCGATTTGAGCGCCGCCGTCTGCGAGCGAGCAATGTCCCACTCGGACGGCTGCTACAAGATTCCCAACGTCTTCATCCGCGGCCGGCTGTGCAAGACCAACACCATGTCGAACACGGCCTTTAGAGGATTTGGCGGACCTCAGGGCATGTTCATTGCCGAGACTTATATGGAGGAGGTTGCGGATCGATTGGGCATGCCCGTAGAGAAGTTCCGTGAGATCAACTTCTACAAGCCGCTGGAGCCGACGCATTTCAACCAGCCCCTGACTGACTGGCACGTACCATTGATGTACAGGCAAGTCCAAGACGAGGCAAAGTACGAGCTGCGGAGGGAGCTCATCAGGCGCTTCAACGACGGCAACAAGTGGCGCAAGCGTGGCCTGGCCATCATCCCGACAAAGTTTGGTATTTCCTTCACAGCCCTCTTCCTGAACCAGGCAGGCGCTCTCGTGCATATCTATCACGACGGATCCGTCCTGGTGGCCCACGGTGGTACAGAGATGGGCCAGGGATTGCACACCAAGATGACGCAGATCGCCGCACAAGCTCTCGAGGTGCCGTTGGACAACGTCTTCATCTCCGAGACGGCGACCAACACGGTGGCCAACGCCTCGGCGACGGCCGCGTCGGCCTCGTCAGACCTTAACGGCTACGCCATCTACAACGCGTGCGCGCAGCTCAACGAGCGTCTAGCGCCTTACAGGAAGAAGTTGGGACCTGGCGCGACAATGAAGGACTTGGCGCACGCCGCGTACTTTGACCGCGTGAACCTCTCGGCGCAAGGATTCTATAAGACGCCCGAAATCGGTTACACATGGGGCGAGAACCGGGGCAAAATGTTCTTCTACTTCACGCAGGGCGTCACGGCGGCCGAGGTGGAGATTGATACCCTCACCGGCACATGGACGTGCCTCCGGGCCGACATCAAGATGGACGTCGGGCAGTCCATCAACCCGGCACTCGACTACGGCCAGATCCAGGGCGCTTTTGTTCAAGGCTTAGGCCTCTTCACGATGGAGGAGTCGCTCTGGCTCCGCAATGGGCCGATGGCGGGTAACCTCTTCACGCGGGGACCGGGAGCATACAAGATCCCCGGGTTCCGCGACATACCGCAAGAGTTCAACGTGACGCTGCTCAAGGACGTGGAGTGGAAGGACCTGCGGACGATCCAGCGGTCGCGTGGCGTGGGCGAACCGCCGCTGTTCATGGGCAGCGCGGTCTTCTTTGCGATCCGCGACGCGCTCAAGGCGTCGAGGGCGCAGTATGGTGTGGCGGCGACGGTCGGGGAGGACCGGGAGGGGGATGGCCTGCTCAGGTTGGAGAGCCCGGCTACACCCGAGAGGATCCGGCTAAGCTGCGAGGATCCGATTATGAGGAGGGCCAGGGTGCTGCCGAAGGAGGGGGAGAAGAGCTTTTTTGTAGCCATTTAGCAACGGGCGCCAAGACATTTTTTTCGGTTTGCATGGGCTTCGCTCTTGTTTTCTTGGAGGGATTAGGTGCTCAAGTGTCGATTATTGGTGTTCAATCCGTAGAGAGACTGGCGAACCTGAAGAATACTACGATATATTGTGCTACTTCATACAATTCTCCTCTGGTCGTATTGTTTAGTTGTACTGCGGACTCCCTAGGAGAGCAATGCGTCACACGATCTCGAATGCGCCCCCAAATCGCCAAGTCTCGTGAACACAGAGAGATGGGATGATGAGGGGGAAGACTTTGGGGCCGGGGTGGCCGGGGCGATGGATGAAGCAGCACGAACATGGAAGCGGTAGTGATTTTCCCTCAGCTGGGAAGCCTTAGACCAGGGCGGCCGAGGGGAAAGCAAGAGAGTGCGAGAGGGAGAAAAAAAAAAAAAAAAGACACCTTGGGCCGAATGGCGGGCTGTGGTTTCATACTTACATTACATTGCATGCTGCAGGCGACTGGAGAATACTAATTCGTAGCCGTTGGGCTTTCTTTCCTTTCTCCTTTCGCTGCCGTTGGAGCGCAAATTGACTAGGTACACTAGTAATACTGGCTGAATCGTTGGAGTCTGGTGGAAGATGGGACGAAGGACCACTTGGTTCGCGGCGTATCCTTAACATTTTCGAGAGCCAAGAATTTACCGTTTGGTTTGATGCGACGGTGGTGATGGAGCTGCCCAGGGGATTTCGGGAACAACGACTAAAGATAGCTCGTAGGGCAGAAGGGAAGCTGCATTGACGGGTGGGTTCCTCTAGCAATGTCTGTGCCATGCGTGCTGGTGTGATATCATTGCTTTGAATTGGCAGATGATTGACCGAGGTACCTTTCGTGAAATGTCACCGAAGTTTTTGAACGTGCGTGATGAGGCCTTCACCGAGGTAAAAGGTGACAAGTCGGAATGAAGGAGAAGGCGGGGAAAATCAGATCACACACTCTCTCTCCTTCGGCATCTCTCTCTCTCTCTCTCTCATGCTCTCAATTTACTCGTCTCATCGGGCGACGTCCGACGGGTTGGGTGAGGGGGATACCTTATTACATGACGATTACTGGTCGTAACCCACTTCTGCCCAGCTGCGCCCAGCCTTGGATTCCTTTGCCGTGAGTCGTGATTGACTAACAAGATTGTAGCTACAAGACTCAGAGATAATTGAAACGGTTTCTCATGATCGAGTTGGATTAGTGACAAAGTATTGAGTGAGTGAAGGTCGAGTGAGATGACGAAGTAGAAGTAGCATCCCCGCCTGGGGTCAGGTACTTTCGACTACCAGGAACACAACAACATCGATCTTGCCTGTCTTGTACTCGTCCCAAAGGCTAATGTATTGAAGTGGGTGGGAAGGAATGCCGGGTGCTCAATTAGCCAACCCACTTCCCATGGCAATTGGGTACGGATACGCGCCTGGCCGTTGTCGCTTTTTTCCCTTTTCCTTTTCTGCGAAGCTTTCGGCCAAGGTACCAGGTTGGTTCCCTCTCGCCTGGCTCGCCTGGTTCAGCTCCCATCCCATTCCCTTGGGACCGATTTGCTCATTGCGCCAAAAGCCCGCACCCATTTTTTCTTCTTCTCCATGCGACTGTTCTGAGCCACCACCACCACCACCACCACCACCAAACACCAACACCAACACCACCAGAACTTGCGACTACCCTCGAAAACGCCCACGATTCCACGATCCCCGGACCCGAGGCGAACGAGCGAACGAGGAGGACGAGGACTAGGAACTGGGAAAAGGGATCGGCAATTTTCCAACGGATCCCCTGCAATCCGTGTCCACCTCGAGAACTGCGAGGCGGGACAAATCCGAAAGCAAGCAAAGCAAAGCAACCATAGCCGAACTCAGCCCGCCGGCTGCCCGCACGCGACAACCTCGTTTTCCTTCCCACTCTGTCTGCAGAAACCCGCCACGCCCAATCTTTTGCGCAAACCCTCGAGAGCACACCACGATCGATTAGCATCCTTCCACCCCCGGTGTCAAATGATCTGCGAACCCTCGTCCCCTGCGTAACCTTTGAGGTCCAATGGGAGCCGCTGCCCATTGAACTGATTCCGAGCCCGCCATTCACCACCACTACTACCACCACTACCGCCACCACCCATAACCGCTGCCGTCACCCGTCCTGGGTCTCTCGCCATGCCAGAGAACGGCAAAGACGTGAAGTCTGAAGCGCAAGACGACAAGGAAAAGCGCGACAAGACCGAGAATAATGGCGGCCATGCCCACTCGGCCAAGAGCCCCAAGAAACGCCGCAAGGTCAACCACGGTACGTTGAATCCCACATCCAGTTGCGCGCTTCGTCCGCCGGAGCTCCCTTGAGACTGCGATTGCAGCTGCTGCAGCGACTCTCTCGGTGCCGCAAGTCGTGCGGAAGCACCAGCTAATGTCATGTGCCTTCCCAGCTTGCGTCTACTGCCGGCGATCTGTAAGTCAGATAGCCCTTATCCAAACAGCATAACTAGCATTGCTTTCCCGGCCCCGCGCATGGCGTTGACACTATCGTGTCTCTGCGATTGCTGCCGTGCGATGACTCTGCCAACCACCGAAACCCCTGCGTGCATTTACGCGCAACTTCGTCTCCCTGCAGGAGGAAACCTGCAGGGCCTGAATAAACAAGAAGTGGGAAAGAGAAAAGATGGCTGACGGATAGTGTCTTGCCTGCTCTATAGCATATGACATGCGATCTCGTATGTAAGATCTCTTTCTTCACACAACCTTGACACATGACGGGCTGCCTTGCTGCGGCGTCTGTTTATCTCTGTCTGCCCGTGCCGTCCACTCGGCTTTCTGGGAGCCCTGCGCGGGCGCGAGCGCGCGCATGCCGTTTCTTTAGCTCGTACCACATCCGCTGACATGTCGTGCCCAGGAACGACCGTGTACAAGATGCATCAAGCGCAATATTGGCCACCTCTGCCACGATGAGCCCCGCGACGCCGATTCCAAAAAGGCCAAGAGCTCTCACGCGCCATCCGCAGTTGATGAGTCCGAGACGACGCAATCCGAGCTCACGAGAAGCTCCATCGACCAATCCGCGACCGGGTCCATGGGCCCGCCGCCCCCTTTCGACCGCAAGGCGTCTGCTTTTGGCGCCGCCGTACTGGGGCAGGGGAACCCGCTGCACCTCGTGTCCCCGGGGGCAGGCACCGGCATGGCGGGAAACGGCAGCAATATGAACCAATGTAGGTCCTCACCCGCGGGCTTGTTCTCCCCCTTATTGTAGTGCCGTGCTGTTCGTACTTGGCGGCTCGTTGTTCTTTTTGCACGCGTCTGCGCTTTCTAGGGAGTACAGAAGGACAACAAGCAACCTTAACTTGGGAGAGACTCGGAAGCTAACGTGATGCGCCCCGGCCTAATAGTCGCTGGATTCTCTGATGCCTGGTTGACGGCCCAGAATCACTACCACGACATGCAAAGCTATCACCCCAACAACTACTTGATCGCCCCCGAAGTCACGCACGAGTTCAACCTGCTGAATGACTTCCTGCAGACCAGCTTACTGGACGACGGCGGCATCGTCTCCGACGAGTCCCAAAACAGCCCCGCCTTCAGCAGGACCGCGGGCGCCAACGACATGCTGCCGACGTTTGGGAGCCACAACGGTAATAACCGGGCCGGTGCTGGCAATGGCAACAACGCGCTTTCGCAAATGCTGCCTCCACAGAACCTGGAGCAGGGCAAGGCGATATCACGGCCAGGTAGCATCGTCCAGGGCGACAAAGACAAGGCGCGCGAATACTACCTCCAGGCGGCCGATCCGTCAGGAAATGACACCCCCGAGGAGCGTATGGACCGTGTATTGAAGGCCAAGTACGAGGCTGGTCTGCTGAAGCCTTTCAACTATGTCAAGGGCTACGCGCGACTGGGCACGTACCTGGATGGCCACATCGCTGCATCGTCGAAACAAAAAATTCTGCGAACGATTGATCGATTCCGACCCAAATTCCGAGAAAAGGCGCAAGCTTTGACGGATATGGAACTGCTCTACGTGGAAATGTGGTTCGAGAAACAACTCATGGAGTACGACCGTGTATTTGCCAGTATGGCAGTACCAGCGTGTTGTTGGAGAAGAACTGGAGAGATCTTCAGAGGCAATAACGAGATGGCGGAACTTCTCCACGTTCCCGTCGAGAACCTGCGCGACGTACGTGTTCTGGTCATTCTAAGCATTTGAGGCTTTGTTGCAGCTAACCATATGATAGGGCAAGATCTCACTCCACGAGATTCTGACGGAAGAGTCTCTCGTGCGATATTGGGAAGAGTTCGGAACCATCGCCTTCGATCCCGCTCACGACACGTTACTTACAGCTTGCACGCTAAAAAACCCAGACGACAAGGCGACAGACCCGGTGGTTCATTGCTGCTTTTCATTCATGATTCAACGAGACAATCACAAAATGTTCGTATCTGCCCACCCACTAGTCTCGGGCCTTGAAAGCTGACAAGTAGGCAGTCCTACGCTCATCGTAGGTAACTTCTTGCCCAACGATCTAGCTCGGCCGTAATCATTTGCATTGCAGGGGGACCTCAGGAAATACCTAGGTTTGGGGGGTTAGGAACACAAAATCAAAGGGGGCAGGCGTCATTGGATACCAGAGCATTCTCCGGTTTGGTTGCATTTTTAAACGTTCTTTTGCATAGGCGGGGGGAAAGGTCCACCGCCAGTACATAAAAGGTACATCTAGTACATCCTTATTTTCCTGCTTGAAGCCTCAAGTCACCGCTTCCCACCATGCCCTGCAGTCCTCTCTTCTTTCCGGTCCGGGCCAGAGGCTTGTCGGGGAGCAGTAACCCCGCGTCCGGGTAAAGATGCTGTCGAGGAAGGCACAAACGAGATTCATGCCTGCCGCGAATCAGATGGCTCTACCTTAGCCAATTTCGCATCGTATCGCCTCTAGGTCTTTCTCGACCTCTTCGGTTCCCATGACGGAGGTGTTCTCTCTCATTGTCATGCGCCCGCGGCTCATTCTTGGCCCTCGACTTGCTCTTCACGAAGTGCACATCCTGTTCCCTTGATCTCGACCACCAACGCCTGCTCTCCTCAAGCAAAATGCCCCCTCAACGGCCCGCAAAGTTGCCCAAGAGCAACAACAGCATTGACAAAATCTCCGCCTTTGCAAGTCTGTAGCATCCCACAGATGAAGCTTCCGCGGTCTGCACGCTGACCCGTAGGCCAACAGCATTCTCGCGGACCCTCTCGACGCGTCTCCCCTCCACAAACGATACCCTCTCCATCGATGCTCTACTCGCGGAGCTCAACCTACGGCTCGAGACGATTATCCGTTTCTCTGGTAGCCCACGAGCGAAATCACAGAGGGTGGAACTTGACAAGAGCGGGACGGAGCTTTGGAACCTGTGTACCAGGCAACGTCGTGATAATGCAGATGGGGCAGCGGCGGGGGCAGCAGCACCGGCTGCGAGGAAAAAACTTCTGTTGCGGAGCAGGACGTATGCTTTTTTCATGATTAGCATCGCAAGGGGTGTTTCGGGCGGTACTGAGCCTCAGCTTGCGGATGTGGTCCATGTCATGAAGTTGGCGCTCAAGGCGGGCAAGACGTGTCTTGGTAAGTCGGGAATTTGGGATGAGGTGACAGCTACTGACGAGCGTATAGATGACGGCGGCACCAGTCCGAGTGCTCTGAAGCTCGCCGAGACTGTATTCGAGAAGGGTGCGGAATACAGCGCGACATTGGGTCACCTACAGGCCAAGATGTTAGGACCGGATGATTTACTAGAATGCAAAAAGCTGGACGCTGAATATTTCATACTCCGCGCGGCACTGGCAAGTTCGCTCTTGGAGTTGATACTACGATCGTCCATACAGCTGACCGTGGAAACTAGGCCTGGAAAACGGACAACTTTCCCGTCATGGAGTTCATGTACAGCAAGGGACACCTCCAGCCGAATGCGCTAGATCCGAATTCAGCCGAGAAGATGGCAGAGATCTTGTTCGAGATCGGCAAAGATCTCTCCAAGAAGGAAAATTTCAGCATGGCGGTGCGGTGGCTCGAACGAGGGTACGACATCATCAATGCCCAGGACCTGTCGCTTCTCTCCCGCGACGCCATCGAACTGCGCCTCTCCATATATCAAGCCCTGATTCACGCGCTGCTGGGTCTCGGAACGCCAGAGTCCTCGCAAAAGGCGCTGGACCTGGTCAGTTACATCGAATCCGAGATTGGCGAGAAACCCGTTGTCCTCCTCCTCCGCTTAGAGCTCTTGCAGAAGACGCCGGCCGAGGTGTTCGACGTCGAGGCCTATGCTGATATCTTGAGACGGATGGTCCGGTCGTTCAACTTCTCCGAGGCGCACTTTAAGCTATTGGTTCATCATGCACGAAAGTTGCACGATAAGAGCCCGACATTGGCGACGAGCGTCGTGGATGGAATGCTCAGGGGCACCATCGTCTCTTCTGGACGCGAAGAGTGGGTTGAGAGACTGGTGCTGTTGAGGATATGGATGGAGACGACGCAGAGAGATGGTATGAGAGCTATAGAAGAGCTGATGGGAGCTCTGGAAGGCCTCCAAAATAACTTGAACAAGCCTTTTGGGGCTTCTACGGCAGTCGGGGCGTTGACTGTGAGCTTGATCTGGGGAAGATGGAAAACAAGGGATGCTGATATTTGTGCAGCTTATTTGGAGAAAGATCGAGGTCAACTACAATCAGGGACACTTCGACTTCGCAGATGGCTGGTGCCAGATAGCCCTGCAGCCTCTGTTCCAAAACGGCGGACCTGCGAATTTTTCAAGACTCGGCAGGTGCGTATCTTCCCAGGAGCCTCAGGGTATGCGCACTGATGGTCGTAGAAAGCTCATTCTCTGCGCCCTTGGGAGAAACGACACTGAGAGGGCGCGGCAAGTCTTCCATGGCATGTCCGAAGCAGCGCAAAACGAGCCGATGACTAGGTACTTGATGTATAAGGCTGCCCTCCGCTCATCTGACCAAGAGTTGGCTGCTCAGTGTCTGAAACGAGTGGCTCTTTCGGCACCGGGGGATCCTAACTTTCTTTATGCTTGTGTCCTCGAGGCGCAGCAGGCTGGGGATAAGGTCTGCGCGATGCAGGCCATGAAGCAGCTGGTGGAGAAGTTCGAATTCAGCGAGGCGTCTCCGATTCATTTGCCGGCACTGTTGCGGTGTAATATCCGACTCGCTGTTTCGGTTGTTGAGAGCGAAAAAGGGGCGAGGGAGCGGCAGAGCGCAGTGGAAGAAGTGCTTGTGCTATTTGAAGGAGGTGAGAGCACTTCATCCATCGGTTTACATCACAGACTGATCATGTCGTACCTTAGCCGTCAAGGCAATCCAGCGAGACCCCAGGGACAAAGACGGAAACCGGCTATTTACCGTCAAGGAACTCGACTGGTTCTGCCAGAATGCGTATAACCTTGGCCTCAAACACTCGGAGAGCTGGGACGTAAAGCATCTCACCCGGCTTTACAACAGCTGCCTCGCTATCGCGAATCATTATCCAGAGGACCTCCCTGCCGAAGCTACGAGTGACCTCGCGTTCAGGACAATGTTTTGCGACTTCATTGCGGCCGCTGCTCTCGTATCGCTCGCCCGGACGGAAGACAACGTCGAGCAGCAGCTACAGCATTATCTCATCATGCGGAGACACATCGTGGCGTACAATGCAGCTCTAGAGAAGCAGATGAGCGGCGGTCTGGATAACAGGCTAAAGAGCGATCTAACGGCCAAGCTTGCGACGTTGATGGTGTTTGACTTTGAGGCTGCGATGGCTCTAAACAAGACTGGTGAGCTGGGGTTCATCATCCGTACGGCCGTGACGTGTCGGGATGTGAATACACTCAAGGCAATGGGGGACATTGCGCTGCGAGGCAAATTGCCTGGACAAGGTAAGCAGCCTAACCTACTACTCTTGTTCCCCATCCTAGATCGCCACGAGGAAACTGTTGCTTATCATGTGCCGTGGTTCCACTGCTCGCAGCCCTCTATTCTACACTGGGCGTCATCGTCAACGAGATCTAGGAGCTCGAGAAGATGAAGGGCGATAGGCTGGCAAAGTATATCCGGTGCATGTTCCACGCTGTCTTACCGCTCGATGCGGCGCTGGGGCAGAGGCTGATGAAGCAGGCCGTCGACGTGGCGAGGGATTCTCGCAAGGTGCGTTTGCATTCCCTCTGCTTCGTCCCCTCTCTTTCAATCTATGGTTTTTAGCTGCTATGTTTGACGAGACACGAAGACTAACCAGCAGTTTGCTCAAAGACCCAGCATCCGTTCCCGGCCGAAGAGCTCGAGTGGCTTGTGACCGTGAGCTTTAACCAGGCGGTGGACGCTTATAATGTCCGACAAGACGACGAGTGCAATACGTGGGCGGATTTGGCGCTGAATTTGGCGCATTATGCTGATGACGGCGGGGAGTTGGAGAAGAGGGTGCAGGAGAACCGGATCAAGTTAAAATTTGAGTTGCCCTGAGAAGAGGAATTGGTTGGGACGAGGTTGCAACACAATGATGTGTTTAGTCGTCGCTATCGGTGCCTGAACAACAAGTTGACAATAGAATCGGCCACAGAGAGATGTGGCCGCTTAATCAATGACCACTTGTAGTTGATCCAATGACTGGTGTATTCTTTTCTCCTCTACAAACTTCTTCAACAAAATACAAGTGCGAGAAAAAGTACCGTTCCGAATGTCTCGTGTAGTGTATATCCCCCGCCGCCAGCCTACGTTGCCCAAACCTTGCCCGGCCTTGAAACCGTCTTGGTTGCCGCCGCCGCCGCCGCACCAGTGAAGCCGTCGTATGCGTCGTGTCAATCGTTTATTTCGTGCCGTAAGTAATTTGCGTCTTTATGACAACAGCCACGGAAGGGCTTAGCAGATGGCATGCGTTTTGCCAGTCTTACCCTGTAGGGAATGCTTTTCCTTCTATTCAGGCACGGCATGGTTAGTGAAATCTCATCCTGGGTGGGTTCGCGCGGGACCCGGGGGGTTTGGGGACAAACTCTGAACTTTGGATGGTTGTGGGTTGATTTCGAGCTGGTGAGGTGGTGCTTGTTGATGTACTCCTGCTGCCTCTTGACACCGTCCTCGTCCATCTGCTCGAGCAGGCCCATACAAAGCTTGATATCGGTGATGAGAGCGTCGCAGCGCGACTTGGAAAAGTCCTCGCGGACAACGACGCGGAGCATCTTGAGGTCGTCGGTCTTGGGCGCCATGGTGTAGGCGGGTACAACCCAGCCGCGGACGCGGAGCTGGTGGGCGAGCGCGAACTCGTCGTAGTGGCGGACGCCCGGCTCGCCTTCGGCGCCGGCAGGGACTTCGGGGAGGCGGAAGGCAACGAGGGGGAGACCTTCGCCGGAGCGCTTGGACATGATGCGGAAGCCGAGGACCTCGAGGGACTGGGAAAGGTAGTCTGCGGTGCGCGTGAGGTTTGACATGATGGCGCGGTAGCCCTTCTTGCCAAGGCGAATGAGCTGGTAATATTGACCAATGACCTGAGAGGCGCCCTTTGAAAAGTTGAGGGTGAAGGAGGCTTGGTCTGCGCCGAGGTAGTTGATGTTGAAGACAAGTTCCTGGGGGAGGAACTCGGCGGAGCGCCAGACGACCCAGCCGACACCGGGGTAGACGAGTCCGTACTGTACTTCGTGTAAGTGAATGGCCCAAGGACTTTGGTACTCGGTACCTATATAGAGCACGGGAGAGGGGTATTACCTTGTGACCGGAGACATTGATAGAAACGACATTCTGGAGGCGGAAATCCCACTCGAGGTCAGGCACGACAAAGGGGGCGACGAAACCTCCACTGGCTGCATCAACGTGGATAGGCACATCGAGGTTCTTCTCAATCAGCAAGTCATTGACAGCCTTGATGTCCTCGTACTCGCCCGTGTACGTGGTGCCGAGGATGGCGCAGATACCAATGGTGTTCTCATCAATGAGGTCGACCGTCTCCTTGGGGTCAATGACGTAGCGGTCGGGCGCGCAGTAGACGAGCTTCTCCTCGACCTCAAAGTAGCGGGCGGCCTTTTCCCAGCAGACCTGAACAGCGGAGGACATGACAATGTTGGGGTGCTCGGTGGACTTGCCCTCGGCCTGGCGCTTGTTCTTCCAGCGCTTCTTCATGGCGAGGACGGCGAGCATGATGGCCTCGGAGGAGCCGACGCATGAGGTGCCGACGGCGCCGACGCCCTCGCCCGCGCCCACGTCGGCGTGGAAAAGCTTGCCAATCATGGAGACGCAGCGGTTCTGAATGTCTGCGGAGGCGGGGTACTCTTCGTAATCGATGAAGTTCTTGCTGAAGCTCTCGGCCTGTCCATGGGTATATCTTTGTTAGATTTCGGGATCTAGGTTCGTGTCCGTGGTACTTGGGGAGGGGGAAGGTGTTGGTGAGGATTTACCATGAGCTTCTCGGCTTCTTCTTCCTGGGATGGGATGTTAGCTTGGGATGTCACTGTAGGCGTTGGATTCGTCGAGTCTTTACTCACCATGTAAGTGGTCACAAAGGAAGCCAGGCTAGAAAGACGGGGGTTAACGATGGTCAAAAATGACAAGAGATTCCTGCATATGACAAAAGGAGAGGCCTACTTGAGCATGGGGTTACCGTCGAGACTGAGCTCGTCCTTGATCATGCGGTAGGCGACCTCCTTGGGCATCTCGCTCTCGGGCATCTCGCTCTTGGGGAGATCCTGATTGGCGAAGCGAGAGCCGTAGACGCTCGTGGTGTAGCAATCGTCGTGGTCGGCGAGCTGGAGCTGAACTTTCTTGAGCTGCTGCTGAACCTGGCGGAGGTTGGCGGCGGACGACGAGTCCTCGGCACCAGAGGCTGAGCCCGAGTCCGGGGGCGTGTTGACGGTTGTGAGGTGAACCATGTTGAAGTGAAGAAGAAGTGGGAGAGGGTGTTGAGGCAAGAAAGCTGTGATGCGAGGAGAGAAAGGGAGCTTTGAAGGTGGTGGGAGGCGGACGGAGGAGGATGTTTATATGAAGTCGAAACCGTGGATTTTTTACTGGAGCTTTGAGCTGGAGCTGGAGCTGGACCTAGAGACCGAGACGAGGCGAATGGGTAGGTTGGAGAGAAGTAGGATGGGAGGGTTCTGAGAATGGGAGCGAGGGGGAGACAGGAGAAGAAGAAGAACAGCAGGAGGAGGAGGGGCATTCACAGGGCCAAGCAATGGAAGCAACAAGCGGAGCTGGGAGGGCGGCCGTGGCACTGCGCTTACATCTGCACCTGCACCTGCATGTCTAAGGCAGGGAGCTGGAACTGGAATTGGAACCGGGACCAAGGAAGCTACCCGACTTTAGCTACCTAGCTACCAGCCATACTTGGGTGCTAAATGAAGGTAGTCAGGTAGCTAAGCAGATTGAACCTACCTCAAGGTACCTTACCTTTTGGAGGTACTTGATGGAGTACATTCCCGGCGGGGTGCACGGCACAGCTGGAACTATGTTTAAGAGACTTGACAGCTACAGCTGCATCCTCCCCCACCTATTCCATGGCCCATTTCGTCCACCTCATCCAAGATCCAACCCCATGAATCGTTGAGGAAGAAAGGCCGAGAGAACCGTATATGGAGGCCTGGAGTGGAAGCTCTGGGTTGGTGCAAGGAAAAAGAGAGACCGAAAGAGAGAGGGCCAAGGCCAATGGCAGATGCAAGTGGGGTGACACCGTGACGCGCGACTTGGGTGCCCTGAAGCCGGCACGGATGGCGGGGCACAAGACGGTGTAGAAAGGTACGTACTGCCTTATATAAGGCACTCATTGGGGATGCAGCTGCGGCAGCTACATCATGGACAGAGTCCTTGGCAGGTACTCGAGAGTAAACCCGGTACATACCGTCTCTAGTACCTCACCTCGCATGCGTAGCGTACTCCGTACTAACAGTGTCGAGAGAGAGTTGCAAGTTTGCTTAAGTCGAGACACGTTCAACCGCTGGCCTCCCCCACCCTGATCGGTGAAGAAGTTGTAAGGTACGGATCGGATGGGACGATTTGCCATCGCCTTGTTCCCCGGGGCCATCCAGGGAAATCCCCGGGAAAACCTACGTAAAAAAGAGACTCGGCAAAAAGGGGCGCAGGAGAAAATATCCGCAAATCAGCTCCAGCTAAGAAAAGAAGTTGGGATCTTAATACCTTACAGTACCAACAGAAACGGGATGACTTTGGGATGTTACCGCGACATTTTGTTGCCAAAAGCACGTGTTTTCCGGATGAAGCTGCGCCCAATGTCTCCGGATCGAGGTAAGGTAGGTACGAGGGCGGCCTCCCTTCCTTTCCGTTTGCTCTTATTCACTCTCTCTCACTCTCCCACGTCTCCAGGTATTCCTCCTTCCTACGCAACAGTCTAAACAACTTTCCCCATGTCTCGGCTCTCGAGGTGTCACAGCACACACACACACACACACATGCGTGTCCAAGGATCCCCAAGTCCCAAAAACGACGCTACGCCCAAAGCTTGGCACGGGTGACATTTCGGGTGGCCCACACCAGCTTGAACCAGCATGGAACAGTGAACACACACCAGCCGTCCAGTGGTCCAGCGCATCTCCACGTCCCTCAACGCGCGCCCCACGTTTCGCCCAATCGCCAGCCGTGCCGTTCTTCCCGCTACAGCGGCGCTACAGCGGGCGGGCGGTCCCTCCCTGGTCTCTCTATCCAGAAGTCCAGAGTCCAAACGAACCTGAACCTTGGAGCACATCGCTACAATTCTCTCACTTTTCCTCTCCACTGGCGTCCTCTTCATGGTCTTTCAGCTCCCGTGCGTTGTTTGTTTCACGGCAGTGATGAGAGATGTTGAAAATGGGGGGGCCAATGGTGGGCTCTGGGTAAATCGGCTCGGATATCAATGCCTAGCACCGTAACACAGCCCTGGACCCCAACGGCGTTACGGCAGTCCATTCCATTTGCTGAACCTTCAAGTGATGAAAAAAGACCCCAATACTGTATACAGAGCAAACACGAATAGGAGAATAGAGCATAGCTACGAGAAAGCACAAAAGAGCCCAAGGATGAAACAACTAAACAAACACCTCAGCACGGAGTAAGCTAGCCGGGGGATATCAACAGCGGCCTCGCTGCGTAGGTATCTCCCCCCCCCCCCCCAGTTGCCC